GATCTTGCGAAATGTCTCAAGAACTTCTTTCTCTTCTGATTCTTTCTCGGATTTAGCTAATCTAGTGGGAAAAGGAGGATTTGTTACCAATGCCTTCGGTTTTTCACTTTTGAGTCCTTTGAGTTGGTCTTTTTTAGTCTGGGGAGCAGCAACTTCCTTTTCAGTTTCTTCCTCTAAGGCTCTCTCATGTGCCAATGGACTAGGTCCCTTCAACTCCTTCCCACTTATAAATATGATTGCACTAGGATTTTTTTTTGGATTAACAATGGTTTGTGAAAGGTATCTTACCTTGGGATTCTAACCAACTCAAGAAAGATGCCAATTAACCTTGGGATTTTTTTTATGCTTGTTATTGTCTGTTACTGAAATTGTTGTGTATTAGTTGCAAGTGATTTGATAATTTCTTCTAGAGATATACCTAGCTTTGAAGAAGACTGCTCAGGTGGAAAACGTTGGGATTGCGATGGTCTTGGTCTATAGCTAAGGTTAGGATGATCTCTCTATCTTGGATTATAGGTATTTAAGTAAGGACCATACTTCCTTTGTGGTGGGCCTGAAAACCTTTCAACTGCATTGGTGTGCTCATGAGAATCATCTTGAAGTGTAGGGCACATGTCAGTTGGGTGACCAATCGCAGCACGTATCCCACAAGCTTTCACTTGCTGCGTGTTTCCTACATCTATTTGTTGAACAAGGGAGGTGAGATGCGATAATTGATGTTCAATGGAAGACAAACCTATCTCATTCACCTTTCTTGAAGACATGTCTTGCCTAAAGACAAATTATTGTGAATTGGCAACCATGATGGAGATAAATTCCCTAGCATCGCGAGGAGTCTTATTCACTATGGCACCTCCACTAGCTTGATCCATTATCTTCCTATCCATGTGTAGTAGTCCTCCATAGAAATATTGGATGAGAAGCTGCTCAGAAATCCCATCTTGAGGGCAGCTTGCACACAGTTGTTTGAATATTTCCCAATACTCATGAAGGGTCTCAGTATATTTTTGTTTTATTCCACATATCTCCCTTCGAATACCAGCAGCTCTTGAAGCATGGAAAATTTTATCAAGAAACAACCTCGCCATCTATGCCCAAATAGTTACAGAACCAGAGGGTAAATAGAATAGCCAATCTTTAGCTTTATCGGTTAGCGAGAACGGAAAAGCACGCAGTTTGATTTGCTATACAATCACTCTTTGCGATCTCATACCTGAGCATACCACGTGGAATTCCTTCAAATGCTTATGAGGATCTTCATTCTTAAGTCCATGAAAAGTAGGCAACAAATGAATCAAACCAGATTTTAGTTCAAAAGCTACCTCCAAAGTTGGATAGTCAATGGAAAGCGGTTGTTGATTCACATTTGGTGCAGCCAATTCTCTTAGAGTTCTTTCTTCGTTGGCCATTATTCCTTCTATTTTAGAATCGCTAGATGAATCAGCCAAGTTGAGTGCAGATTTCGATTAGGGGATGAAGAAGAAGAAGCTTGTTTATTGCGCAATTTAGTTTCTTTTCTTAATTTGCGAGCGGTCTTCTCGATCTCAGGATCATATTGGAGTTCACCTGCATGAGAAGAACGGGGCATCAAAATAAGTCTAAATGACACCAGTCCCTTTCAACGGCGCCAAAAATTTGGTGGGTGTCGAACCCAACAAATAATAATTATTGCTTTTAGAAATATAAATTGTAGTAGCGATAAGCAAGGTCGGATCCACAGGGATTGGGTGGACTTATTTTAATGAAAATTAAAGCAAAGAAAATGGGTTTTGAAATTGAGAAAAATCAAAAGAAGAAACAATTATAATCAACAAAAATTTAGAGAAATTAATACTAAGCAAATATCCAACTAAAGGTATAATTTCATAATTGGTTCAGAGAATTGACCATAGATACAATGATAAAATCTTCTATTTTTCACTAAATTGGTTATGGTTATTAACAAGCTCTAACAACCTATCTCTCCTTAGTTTCTTGATAATCAAGAGAATTTCTTTGATTATTTCCCTTGTTAATGAACAACCCTAGACAAACTCTTAAGATTTAATCCACCAACAACATTAACTACTAGAGAGACCACTAATTCTAGCCAACAAATACACAAGCTTGATTCATTTGGACTAGATTTTAAACCTTCATAACATAATCAAAAATCAACTATGTTACTTTACCACTAATATTAGAACGTTTAAACAATTAAGGATTTAAAGTTCTAAATAGCAATTTATCAACCTGATAATTTAACAACGAGCCCTTTGCAACAATCAATCAAGACAATAATTCTTAATAAATATAGAAGATATATATAAATAGTGAAGAAATAAAAGAACAATGAAAATTATTTAGATCTCACAATTCTTGAAGAACCAAAACGTACTTCAATTATCCTTTAGTTAGAACAAAAGTATTTAGCTACTCATAATTGAAAGAACACTAAAAGAAAATAAAGATGAAATCTATAAATAATCCTAGAGAAAAATTGCCTCTTATGAAAACCCTAGCTCTCCTTTTATAAGGATTGCCCTATTCTAGTTAAGGAAGTTTCCCAAAAGTGAATCCCACCAAAATAGGGGGTTTTGGATACCCTCATCCTTCTCTAAAGATAAGAATAATTCAATAGAGTCTTTCAGCTATCATTAAAATCCTTTTCTCTTGTAAATTTGTAACCCTAATTTATAGTTGTACGGACTGGTAAGGCGTGCCCACGCCTTAACTGCAGACGTCTTTTGCGATAGCTTAGGATGAATAAGCCGTGCCCACGCCTTATGCAAAAACCTCTTCTGGTCTTGCCAACTTCTTAAATTTTGATTTTTCCTCTTTAATTTGTGATTTTGTGAAGATCATGCTAATCATTAGATTTTGAACTTGTTTAATACAAATCTTCAACCTAATCCACAAAATATGAAATATAATCAAAATCCATGATTTAAGCAATTTTAGTCATTCAAATATGAGGAAAATATCATAGAATATATGGCTAATATGCATCTTATCAACGCCGCTAACAATTGCGATGCTCATTTTAGCAAATTTTCTTGCGGCGCTCTTGCTCATGCCGAAAAGGTGTTTAGCTGTGCTAACAAACGCCACTGTAAGACTAAAAAAAGGCTGTTAAAAACCGATCCTTTTAACCTACAAGATAACTTAAAATAATTTTTTCTCGGCAATTATTATTTTATTAATTATTTGGGATATTGCAATTTATGAATTTATGATTTTATTAATGATTTGAGATGGTACAAATTACGATTTTATTAAGGATTTGGAAGTATTATCCCGAACCTAAGTTACTTGCCTTAATAAAAACTTCTCTAAACCTAATTGAAGGAAAAAAAAGTACAACACAACTAGGGATGACAATGGGTCGGGTCGGGTTTTTGGGCCACCTGACCCGACCCGAGAAGAAAGGGTCCTCCACCAGTGACTCGACCCGACAAAATTTTGGTTTCACCCGATCCGACCCGACCCGAATATATGACTTAGAAACCCAACCCGAACCAACCCGAAATAATAAAAATATATTTTTATTCAATAAAAACAGTGATTTAATTGAAAAAATTTATATATAAAGGTGTATTATTGTAATTATCCCTAAATATATAGGGTAAAATTATATATATTTTTCGGGTCGGGTCGGATTTTTTACACCCTAAACTCGACCCGACCCAAACAGTACATTTTTAAAAAAAACCAGACCCGAACCTGAATTTTTTTTAAAAAAATCCGACCCGATCGGGTTGAGTTGCCATCCCTAAACACAACTAGGAAAAAACAACATTTCAAACTGTGATAACACAAGCAATCACCTACCAAAAGGACTGTTGATCTATACAAACAAAAACTCACCACAACAAAACAACACACCTCTCATACGCTACAGAAAAACACATACCACCATGCTATAAATAGCTCACGTTTAGCCACCTTTATTTATTTAAATGGCGTGTCATTCAAATTGACTTCTTTATGCATAGAAAAACATCACCGGCTCAAAAGAACGAAACATGACAACTATTTCGCTAGAGATATTCCTCCAAACGCAATGGCCTTAATAACGAGATTGAATTCTAATTCAAAGTCACCATCGAGAGATATGCAACTTAAAACATTTTTTAACATCCACATTTACCAATTAAACTGCCTAGCCACTTTAACATGTATCATTAGACAAAAACCTAATCTTACAACCAGGAAAGGACCGAAGTTACAATCAAGAAAAGACCGAAGTGAGGCTGGTGGGGAAGTCACCCCCTTTAAAAATTTAAAATTATCATATATTTTAATTTTGTTTATGTATTTCTTATAGAAAATCTATTTCGCCACCTTAGAATTTTAGTTCGCTTCTAGAATTTTAATTCATCCCCTTAAATTTAAGTTTGTTCCCCTAACATAAAATCTTGCTAGCGTCCGTCACTACTTACAACAATCAAGTATCGCCCACATCCGTCTTAATCACAAAACCAACAACATTACATCTAATGCAACCAACAACATTACATCTAATGCAACGGAAAAATTTCAAGTTCAAATTCCAAAACATAAAATAAATCTAAATCCAAAAGATAGAGTCTCACGTACGTTACCTTTACAAAATACGTGGAAACACTTATTCCATTATTTATCAAAAGTTGTCCTACAGAATATTTGTCATAGCCCATTCCAGAGCAACTCGGTAAATTATCAAAACATTGATACTAACCCCGACGCCATTCAAAATTCTACGAACCAGTGTTGGCTAATTTTAGGGGAAGGAAAATGCAGGTAATTGCTGACATGTGGAAATCACATACATAATAGTAAAATATTAAACGATGTAAACAGAAAACAATGGATTGAAGCAAGCACAGTCCACACGATAATGTGCTTTATTTAAGTAAGATACCGAGTACAGACTAGTCCCAAAACCACCATCACGACTGGTGAAAAACATTCAATTTTGATATGCATGCCTTACAGTTTATTGTACTAACATTTTTTAGGGTCTTGTAGACCTTTTATCTCTAAAACCACCTTCGAGAAGGCAAGTCACACCCCCTAGGCTCCTCCACGTTATCACACCTCTGCAAAATCTTCTCGGCAACCTTGTACAGCTGTTGGGCCTCTTCTCTCTCCCACTCTCCATCCTTCATTTGCTGCCTAACCGCTTGTTCCAGGCCGTCGCACCGGCAATCCCTCTGGAGGTTCTCCAGCTGCTGGCAGCACGAGTCCAAGTGTCGGTCCGACCTGTGGTACCGGTTGCTCGACTCGTCTTCTATGTATCTCTGACAGTCCCTCAGGTTGTCCTCCTCCCTTATCTGCTGTTGACAAGAGTGTTGCTGGCGGTATATGGAAGCATTGACGACGAATAAAGCGAGAGCAAAGGTTGCTACGAGGAGAGCGAGCTTTGCCATGGTAATGGTTGTTGATTTCACGGATATATGATGTTGATTAGCTTGATGGTGAGAAATGGGGTGGCGGATCAAGGGTTTTATAGTGGACTTCCACCTTTGCATGCCGTTTACGTGTAATATAAGGTTTCAACACGTAGTCTTTTGGGTGCAAATGGGGTTAAAAACTTGATTTGTTATGTTGTAAAACTATCATCTTGACGAAAATTTATTAGATTGACCAGTTCTGCATTTAATATGTGGTCCAAGCAATAAGATTCATCTATCTCATTTTTTTAAAGTGAATTTTCACATATTTTTTATATGTAAAAAAGGACTGAATAATTATTTAGAAGTTACCTGAAGGTGAATGAATTTTATTGGTCGGGATCACAGATGATGTGATGAACCGAGTCCAACTAATATTTTCTCCATATTGACCTTTCATAATCAATATTCCAGACTTGTTTTATCCCTTTCTTGGAGAGACTATTACGGAGGACTACTCGATCAAGATGAGGAGAGTCAAGTTAAAAAAATTTAAGTTATTCGAGTTTATAAGTCATATTTTATGGTTTAAACTTTTTTAATTTTTTTTCAATCGAGTAAAATTTATAAAATTTAAATCAATTTGTTTGAGTTTTTATATAAATTTTATTATAATTATTTATATTTTATGGTATATGATCTTTCGTAGACATTATTTTAGATTTGATTTTTGTTTTGGGTAGACGCAATAATTTGCGCGGCGGGAGTTATTTTTGGGTTCGCATTTACTTAATATTAGAATCAATTATATGTTTTTATTGATTTAACCAAATCATACAAAGTTAGACGGTAATATCCCAAATTTTGGATGAGTGACGGAAATGTAAATTTTAAAAGTTTGGTTATCAAAGTATAAAGTTATAAAATTCAGAGGCTAAAATTTAAATTTTCAAAAGTTATATTTTGGCCCTGTAAAGGAATAATTCGGCCCAAGAATGGTATTTTAGTGGGTTTCATATTTTTGATCCGAGACTTTTATAAAAATCTATTAAGTGATAAAGTTCGGTAAAATATTCGGATAATCGGATCGAATCGAAAGTTTATAAAAATTTGAAGGAAGGTAGTTTGGGGTTAGTAATATTATATTGATATTTTTAATCAGTACAATTTGATATGAAGTAGTGGAATTTAGTAGAATTTCCATGTTAAAGTGAGAAAGTTGAATTTTAGTGGCTAAATTGAATTTCTTGAAAATTGGATGGGTAGAGATGGAAATTTATAAATGAGATTTTTATATGTATTTAATTTATTAAAATGGAGATAAAAGGATGGCATAGAAAAAATTATCAAGATTCATTAAGGGTAATTTGGACTTAAGGATTGAAATGAATTTAAAATTCATTTTAATTAGAATTTAAACATCTGACAAGAGATTTTTACATAGAAAATTCAAGAATTTTGCTTCCATCTTCTTCACTCAGCCGTGAGCCTCCAATAACAAAGGTAATTTGTTTTTTCAATTTTGGTCATTTTATTAGGATTTTGGGCTAAAATGTGAAATAGAAAAAAAAATCCCCTTTATATTCTATTCCATTTGGTATTAAAATCTGATTGTGAAGTGGGTGATTATGGTGTATGAAGGGGATATGAGAATTCAATGAAATAAGTTTGAATTAAGATGTTAGTAGTGTTGTAGAATTAAAATCAAGCATGAAAATGGATTGCAGACAATTAGAGGGACTTGTTTACACAATTCGATCATTATGGGGTTTTATGGAGAAATGTTAATTTTTATTGTTGTGATATGGAATTGATTGGAAGTGGTTGGAAATGAATTGGAATGGTTGAGAATGATGTGTAGTTGATGAAATTGAGCTTGAAACAAATTTAGGGACCATTATGCAAGACTTTAAAGTATTTGGCCCTAGAGGAAGTAATAGGGAAAAATTTTGTAAAAATTCTTAAGGGCTTAGATTGAATTTAGAATGATTTTGTATACTTGGAATTTTGGTTTGGATCAAATTGAACCTTGGTTGAGTTGTTAGGTACCATTTAGCAAGATTTGAGAATTCAAAGCTTAAATAAATAATTGTTGGGAATTAGTATACTAAGTTGTATATTTTATAGGGATCCATTCGAAAGTTTTAGAAAAAAAAATAGTGGTTAAATTACAAAGGTGTAATGTTAATGCACTAATTTGGAAGTGTTGTGTGAATGTTGGACTATGATGATTGAAATGAATTAAAGTAAGGTTAAAGTACTAGTTGAGCAAATTTCAAAATATTAGGTTTGATTGTAAAGAAAGGTCAAATAGTAGCTAAATGTGAAGTATTGAAAACTAAGATGATTTTTTGTGATAAATGACAATTTAGGGGACTTGATAAATTAAATTGATGAAGTTCATGTTAGTTTTCAATTGGGTGATAGAAATTATATCAAATATGTGTTGATGATAATTTTTAGAATTTATTCGAATTCGAAATTAATATACTAGTTAAAGTATTAATTCATATTCGAAATTGTATATGTTGGGAAATCGACGTTCGTATAGATCATGATCGAATTCAAACTCAAAGTGAACTAAAAGAAAATAGTAAAGTTTGAGAGAAAGGTGAAAGTAGCATTAAAGCGTAGTGAGGCAACTAAACTTATCATTAAAGACAATACGAGAAAGACTAGTGATGAGTCAACCTCGAACGATTTTTATAAAAAAAAGTTTTAAAATAGTATTTTGAGTATACATTTTATTATTTTGTTTTATTTCATAGCATCCGAATGATTTTAGGGTATTAACTGCCTAAATCCAATTTTATGAGAATTGATTTATATTTAATTATATAAATGATTTTATATGCAAAATATAATGTGATTTTTAAATAAAGCTCATTGTATGAGATTGAGGGTTAGTGATACAATTGGCATGCCATGAGGTGGAGTGTTTGTTGGAACCGTTGGCGTACCCCATGGCGCAGCATAAGCAAAACTTGATGGTCTCACAAGCGATCCAAGTACGAAAAAATGAAATCGGGAGAAAAGGATGCGAATACTTACAGTGGGTTCCTTGAAAAACAACAAAGACAACATCGGCTAATGGTGATCACAAATGGTTCAAATCGTAAGCCTCCACGAAAAAACGTCTCGACCTCTACTCAGTTCACGCGATTGAGAGCAAATTTTTACTTTTCCCAAAAAACAATTTTGAGAAAATGACTGAAGATTAAAAAACGGCTGTTAGACCTTACACACCTTTAAGTATTCGAGTTACCCCTAACATATTAGGGATTTTTTAGTTATTTTGAATTAATTAAATTCTTATTTAATTAATTCAAACTAAATACCCATTAAATATTTATAATCCGAATTATACTCTTTAACGTTTATTTAAACTCTTATTTAATTATTCTGAATTAAATATCCATTAAAAGAGTTGTAATCAGAATTACATTCTTTTAATGTTTATTTACTATATTCGGGATAATTAAAACCATATGTATATCAAATATACATATATTAACTCTAGATATATTTTAGTAACGTACAACAAATGGTACATCTTTGCTCATTTCAATCTTAGGGTGTGACCCTGTAGGTTCTTGTAACGTTAGTAGTAATTATTAGAACAATTCCTATATTACATACAATGAGTGACATCTAGCAATATATCATTGTCACCTACGTTGCAAGAAATTATGATTCGACACATCATCTTCGTGATTAACTCTTTTATGTATTACATCTTTTTGTCCTTTATATCTAAAATAGGCACAAGTCTTGGAATAGTCACACTTGTATAACTCATCTTTTGTTTCTTGATATCTACAGTAGACTATAATTAACGAATAATTTGTAATATCTCATATCAACTTATTCGAGCATGGCCATGCATTTCTAGTCTCACTCAATCAAGTGGCATGTGATATATTTCCTATTATGTAGGAAGGACAAATCTGATCTTAATCATACACACCCCACTACATATATCCAGATATATTCAATAACAGTCTTATAGTGCAACCAGTTAGAGAGCATGTTTAACTGTATCAAAACATACAACAATATATGTTGGGATAGCATTGATCTCAAGTCTGAGGATCATATATATAGTCATGACCGTGAGCAATGTTATGAACGTCACATAATAATCCAAGATATATGCTCATGGTGGGTCAATCCAATACATTGTGCTCTAACAATATAATCATGTATCAATTCTGACATCTCTATGTCAATGACAACTCGTTGTCATCAATCAATAACATGTTAGCCTTAAGTGTATTGTTTTTGTCAATGCCCATAATAATACTTGACTATGGATCTTATAATAATAATAACATTATTATATGGACTTTATTATCTTTTAATTTATGTTAAACACATACATCTAACTGAAAATAATAGCGGTAATGTATTTATTCAATAAATTCAGTAAATAAAATGTATTATTACAATAATCATATGATTGGTCTTTAGGCATACTCTAACAATGTTAGTGATCGATCACACAGAGGTACATTTATGTACATCATAGTTACCGATACATTTATGTATTCAAGATTCATAGGTACAATGTTGTTGTGTTCTACAGTACTTGCACATTCACGTGCACCTATGGTGCAATTACTACCACTTAATGTGCAACACAGTTAAAAACAGTTATAACATAAAACATCCAATCATATACTCGGGTACCATATATTCTCATAATAGTACAATGGACAATGATTCGAATCAAAATAGTATAGTATAGTTTTGATACATGTTTTAAAGTGAAGAATTTTGATAATTATTTTTATTTTATGCATGATTTATTTTAATAATGTTTTTATATAATATTGCTAGTTTATATGTTATTTATTTTATTATGTTGTCTCACTAAGTGAAAAACTTTGTATGTGATTGGTTCACATGTAGGTAAAGCAAAGTCAATGGAGTAAGAAGCCAGGCAGTTCCTACATTTTGTGATTCAGTTTAGACATATAGAATCAGTATGACATCCTCTCGATATTTTTGTTATTCTAGTTGGCATGTATATGTTT